TAGGAATCCAACTGCGTTCGCTATTGGTTTTTAAGTGGACAATTTATTTGGAACTTAATGCAACGTGGTATAATAACTCGCGGTGGAATTTCATTGTATAACGAAAAGTAAGATTAGGGAATCGAGGAAGGCACATTCTGAAACGAAATAGAGGTATACCGGAAAAAGAATGAAGTCTCTCCATTCGGGATGACTTAAATGAATAAAATTTTGAAGGCGTCATAATGCATCCTAAAATGTTTTGGTCAATCTTCGCCCTCATGATTTCATAAAAATCACCTGGAAGTCCAAGCTATTGGAAACATGGACTTTATAAATTATGTCCACCCAACAATAATATGGTCCGGTGGACATAAGGTTGGTTCTCTCAAACGCAGAAAGGACCTCTTGGATAATCTGAGATCTCACGATGCTTCGTTTTTACAATAATACCAAACAGCAGTCGTTCATCTGGTTACAAAACTGCTACCAATCGACCTTAACAACCTTTCAAGATCAAAGGAGACTTCAGAAACGTTCCAAAGTTAAGAGAACTAGTTGAAAAGGCTGTTATTTCCGACTGAGCAAGGTTCACTTGTACTCTCAGCAGCAGAACAAATAAGTACTGGTTTAGTATGTTGCTTGTCTACCAGCTAGCATACTGACCTGACAAAGGTAAAATATAAAGTACAGCAGAACTGAAATCGGAATAACGTTCGCAGTCAGGAAGTTTCTTTGTGAGGAACGATTCCCCTTCTGTCATTCTTCACTTTATTTAAATGTTTTGTATGTGAACGTTAATTGTACGAGTTCTTGACGCTGCCTACTGTGCCATATCCGTCAACGCAATTGCAAATCTATGAAATACAATCTACTCTCTGACTGCTTGCATTCATTTCACAAGGAATAGAAAAATACAGCTAGGGGAAATGTGGAGATTTGGCTTAGTGATAATCATCAGGATCCGCATTCATATATTAAATCCACCCAAATGCCGACTACAACTAAGCTAGAAATGATCACTCCTATCTCTTATTGCTTGTTACACTTTCAGGACAAAAGGCCAATTGTTCTATCGTAATTTAAGCCCACTTCTGTTGTCGGAACAGTCAGGCAAAATGTTTCTTCTTGAACATCATCTGGGGGGAAATCATACTGGGCCCGGCGGCCGGCCCTGAGCCACCCTCCCCTTCAGGGTGATTGATTTTCACCATGTTCGCGGCGCGGCAAAACAAAAATAGCCTTTTTGTAGTTTCGACCAATCATCGACACACTTGAAGTTCGTGTTGCCGTCCCAGCCCCCCTCTCATTAAGCCCGCGTACCTACGCGCCCCGTACACGTTGGTGCGCCGCGCTGCCATTGGTAACGTTTTGGCTTTGCAAAGCTGCCAACGACGCCGCCCAATAAGACATCAACCAGGGGAAAAAGAACGCCACGCGTGTACGGTTGTTGTCGGGCTTTCACATAAATACACGGGCATAGTTTTGGGGAATGCGCGGGCATAAGACCCCTGTCACTAACCTTGCCTCCTTATGGGTAGTTGGTTTGCGTGGGAGGTGAAGTGTGGGCCTGGCGGATGCTGCAGTCGAAGGCGATTACAACTGTTGCTGATGTAAAAAGAAACAATTAGTGCACACACACACACACTGTGGGTGCTTAAAATGTTTTTTATTTTGCCCCTCCTGAAGACACACGCACGACATTCAATATAAAAGTTCCACCGATCAGCTAACCAGGAGCTGGCGTTTTTGTCTGGCCTGCACATGCCAGGGTATCGGCGGGCTATTTTGTGCTATGCCAGCACATGGGGAAATGGAAGCCGATCCTGGTGTGCAGAGCGCAAAGGCATTCATTTGGGTGCTTAATCGCGAGTGCCCCACAGTGCTGTTGCTGTCTTTGCAGTACCTCTATTCTGCCGTGGTATTTTGGCTTGAGCCAAAAAGTGCGCACGTTGGATGAACGCTAAATGTTACCCGAAAACAGCATTCCTCATGTAAATTCAAACCTTTAGGCAAGTCATCTGTGTAGAAAGAATATCTATGAATAAATTGCATTTAGTCGAAAGATGCGTTGCTAGTTACCTGAACCAAAGACGAAATGGGTAGTGAAACTGACAATTAGGGTGTAACTGAAGGACAATTAATTAAGATATGCAGTAAAAAGTTACTTTTTACTTCTGAAATTTGAATTTTAGACACAAATACGTGTTCATATATTTTGTATAATTTACAGTAAACCCAAATTCAAGAAGACAGCGGAAATATTCGTAATTGAATGCTTTTCCAATTTGATTTTAATGAATCCTGACTCAACCAACATATTATATATATATATATATATATAATATATATATTAAATCAACCAATATATTTTCGAAAATTATCATGATATCTTGGTATACAATATTCACACTTAACTCTATAAACATTTATGTTTATGAAATTAGAAAAAAATTAGACCAAAGTTTCAATCATATTACATAATCAAAGACAATCAAAACGCGTTTCTTTCGCAATTCCAATTTTAAAGAGAATCTGTCGTCTCTGGTTTCCTGCAAGAACTTCGAGAGGGGCCAGTAGAAAATTTCATAATTCTACCTTTGGGCCTCTCAGAATGAATGAACAGGGAGGCATAGTGTCTGCGAAGCCCTTAGAAAATTTAACTAATCAAGCTATTCATAAAGAGTATGATTACAAAACTTGGAGGAAAACATTCTGTTTAGACATTTCTGCAAATAGCAAGCATATCAGATCCATCCAACAATATTTCGGAAGCAGGGTTTCTTGAAGAAGGGAGTGACCTAGCAATCTTAGTATAAATGGGGCAAAAATAAACCAATCAAAGAGAAACAACCCAGTTAGAAGATTTCTCTCACATTCTTCAAAAATATTTCCGATTATTTCTAAGAAGCATGTATTGAATGCATTTAACGACAAAGCAGACCATTTCATTACTTCTACAAAATCAGTGAACTATTGCAGAGGTTATCTGGTGCCAATTTACACAATGTCCTCATGTTATCGAAAGTTAAATAATGAAAGCGTACGTTTTTTCTATTAAATTTTATAGGAACGATCCCATGTTGACCAGTACCTTTGCTCGTATTGCGAAAATCAATCATTTAAATTAATCAGCCCATAAAAGTCGTACGCAATGCTTACTTGGATAAAGCTCGAGGAAATGATGTTCCAAAGATATGTTGAAGTTTCTGTATCACCCAGTTTTTCGTAATCCAACTATGAAGTAACCTCGGCAGATACATGTTTTCAAATCTATCCTCACACTCTGTGTGGTTTGCACCATGCACCGCTGAAGTACGGAGTTTTTGCTTGGTCTACGGTCGTGTTTGCTGTCTAAAGAACTACAAGGTGAATTCCCATCGCATTAGTTATTTATACATAAGTCAGACCGGTTTGTTCAACACACCGGCTCCAACGCAGACCACAGAACGATCAACGTCTTTCCACCGATCACATCATTGGACGGGCCAGTTATATGACAACTGCTCTTGTGCCTAGGACAATTAAATTATGCGCACAAGGTCTTTTGGCAGTATAAATCTAGATTTCATAGGCAAATTTTTATTGCATTTACTGTTTCGAGAACCTAATTTACGAGCTCCTAATTTGGCTGATCGGTGTCTAAAAAATAACATGATTATCTTCTTTGGCGTCGAAACGCTGCCCTGGGTTAACAAGAGACGTAGAACAATGCCAGAAGTCACTATTGTCTCACTAACATTTTTACGGTCATCCTGTTGTTTTATTCGCATAACGCGCCCTACTAGAGACTCATATGAAGTTGTTTACAGTAGTAGCTTGTCTTTACCCGCGTCGTAGTTGTGAATATTCAGATAGAAGATGCTGTTATTTTGTGCGGGGAAACTACCAAGCAAAGAGTACCTAATGGGTGTGAGAAACTGACAATTACAACGTTTAATTAATGTCCAAGAAAATATGAAATCGGGATGCCAGATTATCTAAAAAGATAAGCAGGTGAACCAATATACGGTATGTCAAGGTAATTATAATTAAATCTTTACTTCTCTTATGCCAGTTTTATAAGAATGCGAAGATTTTCTAGAAGAAATCCTTATTGGTTTACATTCATTTAATTTATCGTATGGGGCTCATCAACAAATGATAAAAAACGGTTATATTATACGTGTCTGTTCACTTCGCGTATGCTTTAGAAAGGAAAACTGTATTCCTCTTTCAGGTACGCAAACGGTTGATCTTCAACGGTCGTCCGATGTTCTCGTCCTCTTAGCTATTATCTACGGTCAGCAAGGAAGGCAAGAAGAGCAGCTGGAGACGCTCGATCGAGCTAAACTCAAGCAAACGAGCATAATGCAGAGTGTTGGTGCCCAGGAGTCCTCCGACCTTGTCCGAGCCTGCAAAAGGAGTCTGGCAAGGTTAGCAATCCCCATTTTATGCCTTCCGACCGCATAGTGGAAGCTTCGCCGCGTTGAGTCTTCTCAGCGAGCTGCAGTGTTCAATTCAGTGCCAATCTCCCTAGTTGTTGTATGACCACCTGCGAATTCCCCTTAACCAAAGGCATATTTGCATTGTGCCAGCACAGTAGCGGTTTCGTGGACAAAAGCAGAGCTTTGATTTATTAAGGACTTACAAAGGGGGTAAAAGTAACTTTTCAAATAGAATGAAGGGACAGACGAGGGGAATTCATATTTAAAGCTCACTAGGTATTAATTAGAGAAAACGTGCTCAACAGCACATCAAAATGAGTCAATACTTATACAAGGGAAGTAACTGATCAAAAGCTTCCATAATTCGTCTTGCGGTCAGTATTACTACTAATCTTTTTTGCATCGGAATGCC